TTCCATGAAATCAGCGATCGGCTGCCGACATGGATCTGTCTCTCCCACCAACGTTTCGATTCGACGTAGGCGTTGTTCCAAGGAGAGAAGCTATAAAGATTATTCAGATCTAAAGGTTAACAACAGTAACAAATACTCCAGACTGGCCTAACTGGTCCGAAACCTCTTTGGAAGAAATTCACGCATGGACAAAGTTTTTAAAGAAAAAACAGTCAAAAGACCTCATTAAGGAGCAGGAGACTCTACAAGAAGGTCCCACATACCTTGCCATCTGCTGATTTGTCCGTTTTTATAGGAGCTCCTTTGTCTTTTGAAGTCGGTGCACTTCCAGATACCTTCGAAACTTTTACAGCCTTGAAATCAGCTAAGAATACAACAAGGAATGAGAACTTATGGATAAAATAGGAAGAAAAAAAGCGAACTTATAGATAAAATAGGAAGAAAAAAAGCAAATCAAACAGCACCTTCAACTCATCAGCTAGGGCAGCCAGTGAAGATTCATTTACTAAGGGTGTGGACTTGGTCGAATCCTCCTGAACATACGGCATTATTATGGGCAAATGCACGTTGCTCAAAAATAGATAGGACCTGTAACTGCTGCGATAACTCGTCTATTTCGCATGCTATTCTATTGAACTTTTGATCAGCAGTCTCAGGTTCGCTATAATCTGAAAAAAATTAGCATGACGTTTCTTCCCAAAAAAAACGTCAAATAACAAGAACCGAGCCCTACCTTTCCCCACAATTTCCAGAACATACATAGAGCTCCCATACGACTTTCCTCGCCTTTTAGCGATCGAGTCAGAGAAATCTGTGCATTCATGAAATTAAGAGACTAAAAATCGGAAGTTATTGAGAACACCAGTCACCGATATTGCGTGTATTGAGGGTGCGGTCCTTGAATCGTTTCCGTGCCGCATCGATGTCTAAGTGGATCTGAAATGAGACTTTTGGAATCGCTTTGTTATGACAACTGCTGTTTAACGCCATAGTTCGCGTTCCGAAATTGGTCACGAAATGCTGAGTTATGGGAAAGGTCTTGACGCCAGTGGGACTCCAATCTACACCTCAGGTTTTCCGGACGAGTGCGCTATCCATTAAACCACCACGGCCACCTCTTACTATCCCAGTTCTGCGTTCGCGAGTTAATGCTTTCACTGTGTCAAACTTGTACGTGCTGTAAGGCAACGGCATAAAAACCTCTGAGCTGGAGGAGTAGAAATGGTCCCGGTGGCGTGAAAACAAGCACACTGGCCTGGACAGCGTGAGGTGCAGGTTCGGGTCCCGCCTGTGCCAAGTCCTATGCCCATGACTCAACATACTTGTGTAATGAAAGAATTCACAATATCTCGTCAATAGATTAGCAGCAGTTCCAGGCAATGCTAAGGCCCTGTACCGGCCAACACTTTGAACAGTACAGTACTCAAGTAGTCTATACAGCCAGATAAGAACGTAACAGTGTACGTTCCATAGGGATTTTTCCATATTAGGACAATTGCAGTCATGTGTTTGCCCGGCACAGGACAGAATAATTGT